GCAGTGGCACGCTCCTGGCCACCACAGCCTCAACCTGCTGGGCTATGGTGATCCTTATGCCTCAGCCTTCCAAATAGCCGGAACTACAGGTAGGCGCTACCACGCCTGGCTAATTTTTGAATTATTGTAGAGCTGAGGTCGTGCCAAGTTGCCGGGGCGGGTCTCGAACCCTCAGGCTCAGGCAGTCCACTTGCCTCGCTTTCCAAAACTGAGATTACAGGCTGAGCCACTGAGCCTGGCCTCAACACACTTGTAAAAAAATGAATTTAAAGCTGTAGCAAGTGTGGTCTTTTATGACAAATGACTGTTTCTGTTGTACGTCTGTGTCTGCTTCAGGGAAAGATTTCTGTATTAGCTTGCTGATTCTGCAAGGTCATAAGAGGCTTAAACTTTTTTTTTTTTTTTGAGTTGGAGTCTCACTCTGTTGCCTAGGCTTGCGCACAGTGACACATTCACTGCCATCCCAGCATCCACCTGCTGGGCTCTGGCGATCCCTCTGCCTCAGCCTTCCAAGTAACTGGAACTACAGGCCCGAGCTACCACGCCCCGCTAATTTTTTATTTATTGTAGAGATGAGGTCTCGCCAAGTTGCCCAGGCGGGTCTCGAACCGCGGGCTCAGGCAGTCCACTCACCTCAGCCTCCCAAGGTATGGGATTACAGGCTGAGCCACCAAGCCCAGCCAAGGCTTAAACTTCTAACTATATATATTTTTTCCTCTCTCAAAACTTCACTTTTAAAAACTGTCAGTGCTTTCAATACTTAAGTAGATTTTAGCCAAAGAATAATACATGAGGATCATACATCTCCAGGTTAAGTTTTCAGATTAAGTTTGCTTTGTCTTAGAAAATTTTTTTCTGGTGATACATATTGCGAAAACGTAAAAAATAGAAGGCAAAAGTTCCCATTTCTGTCGTTCACTGTTAATTATAGCTAACAGTGTTTAACTTAGCTCTTGGGAATTTGTTTGATGAGCCATGTTAAAATAAGACTTTGATTTAATAACTATGCTGTTTTTTCCTTAGGAAATCAGATGTACACAAGATAATTCACCTAGAGGTATTTATAACATCAGGAAAAGTTGCAGATAATCTAAATATAATAATATACATTAAACACTTTGTTAAATAGAGTCACTTAATAATTGAAATACTATTCATTTTTAAAGATTTTTTAGAGTAATATCTGATGACATGGAAAAATGCTTTAATAGAAAAAATTACAAAGCATGTATAGTATCTCAATTTTAAAATGTTTACATGTCTCAATGTGAACATGTTTACATAGGAAAAGAATGGTTTTTGCACCAAGAGGTTAACAGTGGTTGTCTGTGGATGACTGGAATTAAGGGTAATATTTTCATCTTTTGTATTTCTTCTTTTTTCCCACTGTAATTGGCATGCATTGTTTTGTTTTGTTTTGTTTTGTTTGAGTTGGAGTCTCACTCCATCGCCCAGGCTGGAGTGCAGTGGCACACTCACGGCCACCTCAGCCTTCCATGTAGCTGGAACTACTGGCATGCCGCTGCCATGCCAGGCTAAGGTTTTTGATTTATAAAGGGACGAGGCCTTGCCAAGTTGTCTGGGCTGTTCTCAAACCCACGGGCTCAGGCAATCTACTGGCTTTGGCCTCCCAAAGTGCTAGGATTACAGGCTGAGCCACCAAGCCAGGCCATTATAAATATTTTTGAAAGCTAGTGGTATCAGAATTTCCTGGTGCACACCTCTATATAAGGGACTCCAGAGAATCTTTTTTTCTTGTTACCTAGTGCTTGGAGAGAACGAACTCCACCCACCGTGCAGATCAGATTTTCTTGTAGCACTAAGACTGTCTTCCAGGTTTCTCAGGGAATGTGTTTTCTCAGTGTTTTTCCCCCTTTTTTCCTCTGGAAACCAATCTTACTTATTCCCAGGAACATGGTGGCATTTACTTTCTTTTTTAATGTAACAAAGTATGTATAACATAGCACCATCCATCTCCAGAACCCTTTCAGCTTCCACAGTGGAAGTCCCAGCTCCTCCCCAGGTCGTAACAACTGCTCTTCTACTTTGTGTCTGAATTTGACTGCCCTTGGAATCTCACATTCCTAGAGTGAGCATGCAGTGTTTGTCCTTTTATAACTTCTTTATTTCACATATCATGTCTTCAAAGTTCATCCATATTGTAACGTGTATTAGAATTTCCTTTCTTTTTTAAAGCAAAATAATATTTCGTTGTATGTATCATGTTTTGTTTATCCATTTATCTGTTAATGGGTTGCTTCAACTTTTTGACAATTGTGAATTTGCCACTATGAACTATGGGTATACAAATATCTGTTCAAGCCCTGCTTTCTCTTCTTTGGATATAGACCCAGAAGTGAAATCACTGTGTCATATAGTGATCCTTCTGCCTCAGCCTTATGAGTAGCTGGAACTACAGGTGCATGCCACCACGCCTGGCTAATTTTTTGATTTATTGTAGAGATGAGATCTTACCAAGTTGCCCAGGCTCGCCTTGAACCTCTGGGCTCAGGCAATCCTCTCACCTCTACCTCCCAAAATGCTGAGATGACAGGCATGAGCCACTGTGCCTGGCCAAGACAGGACTTTTAAAAAGAGAAAAGGGCAAATGAGAGATGCCTTGTGCCTTCTCAGGCTGATCAGTTCTAAGAAGAAAAAGTCCTCACGGAAGTTGACAGCCTGGAAATAGGTTCCCTTAAATACCTCTTGAAAAACAGAAGTCTTAATGTTACTCTACACAGATCTAAGTTGTAGGTGTTTGTTTTAAAAATAATATACCACCCATGGTGCAGGTATTCTTTTTTCAAAGGTCCTTAAATATAAGTACAATGATGAAGGTGGTGACAGATTATACACATCATTTAGTATTTCTGAAGTACCTGTCTAATTTGTACACAAATCTTTGCTTTATCAATATCCTTATTTTACTTGGGAACCAATCAGATAGTCTCAAAACAAAAATGCCCTCATCTCATAAAACAACATTTAATGACAGAATAAAGCCAGCCTGGGGCAGGGACACAGATGTCTTATTTTTCTAAAGCGCTGCCTGTTTTCTTTTTTCTTTTTTTTTTTTTTGAGTCAGGGTCTCAGTCTCTTGTCACCCAGGCTGGAGTGCAGTGGTTTGATCATGACTTACTTACCCTGATCTTCTGCCTCAGCCTTCCCAGTAGCTGGGACTACAGGCACGCACCACCACACCTGACTCATTATTTGTTTGGTTTTTTTTTTGTAGAGATGAAGTCTTGCTATGTTGCTCAGGCTGGTCTTGAACTCCTGGGCTCAAACAGTTCTGCCTCAGCCTCCCAAAGTGCTGGGATTACAAGCATGAGGCACCACATCTAGCCTGCCTATTTTTTTTTCTAAAGTGATAAATTTTCAGAGTAGCAAGGTATAGACATAGAAAGTTTTTAAGTATTTTTGACTTCTTTTTTTGGGGAGTGGTTGGAGTCTCACTCTGTCGCCCAGACTAGAGTGCAGTGGCCACCCCTGGCCACCGCAGCCTCGACCTGCTGGGCTCCGGCGATCCTTC